AATGGAAGAATACATATCCTCTAGTTAATGAGATTGTTCCATGGAAGACTTCATTTATCTGGGGCTTTTGAAATTCATCTTTTTTTTTCCTCTGAAAACACTGACTTAACACTTTTTGGCTTAATAAGATTTCTTCTCCTCAGATAAATATTGTCCATCCTTGTTTGAGTGCAACAAAAATTCAGCACAGATGGTGGAGAAAGCACAGTTTCAGCTTTGGACAGCTGAAACATGTCATTAATAGTTCCAGGAAGAAATTTTTCTAGATGGTAGCATGAAGTCAGAAGGCACTTTTTTTTTTTGAGGTCTGCAGGTTTTTAACACTGTACATCTCAAACACTGACCAAGCCTTGACATCACGTTGCCAAGTAAACTGATTAAAACTACTTGCCAAGTAGTCTAAGGAGACTAAGCATCAAATTGTGTACTAAATGACCTGTCTCAATTGTGATACACAGCAGTAAAGACCAAAAAAAAATACAAGTGTAACTTGTAACTCTGTAACGACCAGCCTATGTTGTGATGAACACAGGTAATTAAGTATCTTTTAATAGAAATAAAATAAGATTTAGGGAAGCCTATAATAGTATCGATGACTGACATAAAAAAAAAGCCTGAAAAGAAAATCGGACAAGCTACCAAGGGTTATGTTCCACACAATTACCTCCTTCAGTTATCACTAGCAGAGCCATTCATCCTTCATGCTGACAACCCTTCCTCATCTTCCTGTGCTAGACCTACACCAAGTACTACAAGGTCGTGCAGCGATCCTGTTCGATTAGGGCAGGGACTCCAACACGTTTGCATCTTCAACGTCCTGTAGAAGGAGCAGCTGCAAGTTTTACTGCAGTGTGTTCCCTTATCTCCAGGTTGGGAGTGCCCTCTGTTGGGGATAGGCGTCATGCCAAATACTGCTCAGCAAGACACAACGTGTACCTGGTTTCTGAAAGGTCTTCTTCCCATTGAAAAGAAAAGAAACGGCTCCACCTTTTCAGATGTGGAAAAGTCACAATTTTCAAAGTGTTAAATAAGATGCCCCAGAAATACCCGGTATATTTACAGCCTTGTAGTCCTGTTGATGCTTATGCGAGGTTCCAGCCACACTAAGCTAAAGCTCAGGAGGGAATAACACTACTCCAGTTGAACTGGTTCCATTTTCCCTTCTCAGATTAACACATCTGCTTAAACTAAGTATTTTGCTGTTACTTACAGAGGCAAAATAACAGAAATGATAACCTGAACCCTGAGAAGCTAATAGATGGCAAGATCAGTGGTTTCTCTCACTCATGCCCATGTAGTACCAAAGGACTGAAGTCCAAAATATCCACAGCCTGGTGCCACTCAGACATCTTGGGACACCACAACATTCCCTCTCCCAGGAAGGCATTGTACTAGAATCAGATACTCACACCTCTAATAAGCAAAAGAAATGTTTTATTCAATGAGAAATAACACTTAATTTAAGAAAATACTTCCTTTCTCCTGCAGTTAACAAGCTGCATTATGGACAAAGATTTTTTTTTTATTTTTTTTGCTACATGCTAGAATGTTTGATTGAAAATAAGGATGATAAGTTTAGCCAGCAAACAGAAGTTCTGAAAAAGTAGGTTTCCACAGTTATCTTCTAGTAGGGTAGTATCCAACAACCGAGAAAGAGCCTCTGTAAGAAGCTTCCATAAGATCATCTGTGACCCTGACCAAAGATCCTGTCACCTTCTGTCTAGGGAGGTCAGCCAAGAGTAAAGAGGTTGGAAAGTCCACAAGAGGCCAGGATGTTCACCTAGTTAGGTAAATTCGAGTATTACTGAAACTTGCCATCAGTTGTTGATAAGTCAAAAAGTAGGGGCAGGGTGGAAGACAGAAAAGAGCTCAAGAAAAAGCCAGACCCTTCCTTCACACATGACAGTGCTGATGAGAGTTCTAGTCTCAGCAGAATGCATTTGATATAAATACTCTTATTCTGACTGGGACTTACTGAAAAAAGCCATCAAAGCTAGCAGAATCATCTCTGAACAGCTGCTAAATGAGAGAAAGAACCAGACACAGTCTGAAAAGAGCCCTTGATTTCAGCATAGAGCGGGGAGTCATTTGAGAATGCAAGAATTTGGAAAAGAAGAGTTTCTGTCAACAGAAGCCTCTTTTTGGAGTACAAAAGAAACCAGCAGAGCATTTCTGGAGCAGTCCTACAGCAAGATAAGCAAGAGTACCACAGAGCAGCAACTCTTAGTAGAAACACTGTACATAGGAGGCACATTCAGTAAGTTTTTACACTTATGCTAAGCTCCCCTGTAAATAAGATTGCTCCAGCACCAAACTATTTGTTTTCTTCTGCTGCTGTTATAAATGACTCAGATTTTTCCTTCCCCTTGGGCACGTGGTTCAGGACATGAAAGTCCTCACACTTTCCTGGATGACTGCTCTGCAGATAGGACAAGATCTCAAATTGAGGGCACATTCTCCACAAGCAACCAGGTGGCCACAAGGCACAAACACAACAGACACATCTCTGCCCATGCACACTTTGCACATCCGTTCCTCTTGGAGGCGTCGGAGCTGTTCTTCTGTGCTCATCCGAGACTCATCTTTACAAGAAAAAAAAAAAAGCCCAAACTTAGTATTATAACAGCTCCAGAGTTCCAGGCTTGTCATTTTAGGAATCACACTGCAACTTGCTCATCATTTTGTTCAGAGACTCGCTGAAGATGGCAAATGGATCTCTCAGGCTTCATTTAAGCAGAAAGACTACAGCTATTACAGACCCTACACAAGGTTCAGCACATCTACACACACTGGACTGAGCAGGGAAAGGAGATTAACATCTTTTTTACTATAATATGTACATTAACCTGAGGAACTAATATTTTTTTGTATAACAGTCTGCTTCATAGTGAAACTAATTCCTGGAAAAGGGTCTCTGTTTTCAGTTACCATTCAACCTAGCACACATTCCTCTTCAAAATTAAGAAAAAAAGTGACCACTAATACCATTGCTACAAAAAACATCCCAGTTATGCCTAGGATCAATTTCACAACCACTGCCAGCCCAGTGCACCTGATTCCTTTTGTTCCATGGAATGCATTTCTTCTCTTGAACTTGATGGTTCAGTCTCTCTCTGATCAGCATCTGTATAACCAGGAAAGAAGATGGCATTAAATGCTGCCCCTTTCCTCCCTCTTCAGACAGTGCTGTTGAAAAAGATGAAGCATCCTGGGTTTCACAGGAGCCTTGGGTCAAACAGCTCTTTACCCCATTGTTAACTTCACACACTGAGCCTGGTGAAGCTGGTGTTCTCTGTGGTGCTCTAGTCACCTTGTATGCTAACCTCTTTACCAAGCCTTGCCCACATCACCTTGTCTCCCCAGTAATCACAGATGTTTCACTTTTTTTAAAAGCAGAATCTTATTCCTCAGTCTCCCAAAGAAAGGCAGGCTTGGGTACATCACTTTTAATTCCAGGCAAGGAAGAGAGAAGGCAAACCCACAAGACACAACAGTGCTCAAGGCAAAGTGAAAAAGAGGTTAAACACCCACCCAGAGTGTGGGTGTGCAGTCAGGCATACCTCTGCTGCCCTCTGCACTGTGGCTCTCTTCCCAGTCTGGCAGATCTGGCTCAAAGCTGATATCAACTGAAATACGGTAAGGAATCCTATCCAGGATGTCTCTATTCTCTCCCGGGTCAGCTAACCAGTTCTGCTCCAGTATCTTAAGCTGATCCTGAAAAATGACCTGCCATTGCCATCTCCTCAGAGGACCTGTAAAGCAGCAGACACTTTACCAAAAAGGCAGAATTTTGGCAAGAATTACACCACTCTCTGAAGTTGTTTTATATTAAATGGTCTGAATATATCCTAGGACATTCCTCAAGCTACCCATATAGCTAGATGAACATCTAGATTTAGTTTTTTTACTTCCAATCATAACTCACAAGAAAGTAATCAAAATCAATTTCATAAAAGCCCAGAGACTAATTTTGGATTATTTATTCTACCATATTAGTAAAAATTCTCCCATATTTGGCCCCAGTCCAGAATCCTTATATTTGTTTTCACATCCCAGAACAAAAGTCTCAAAACTGCTTTCATGAAGATCAAGTAGAACATACCAATTGAAGTCTCTGCTACTTCATAATCTAGCTCAACCACTCATCAGTAAAGACAGAAGCAGGAAATTCAGCTGGCAGCCTGTTTAAAGGCTTGTATTTCTTAAACTCATCCTATCAGATAGGCTCTTTAAGAGAATGACAAAACAGTTTTCTACAATTATGGGTGCCAAACCTCACTCACTCAAACTTCCAGAAGCAACTGATGAATGGGAATAGATCCCCAGGATCAACACTTTGATGAACAACTAGACTCATTAGCTGTTCTCTTGTCTGTTATCAAGTATGTTTAAAGTGCTATGGTCTGAAAGACCCTACAGACACACAACATCAAGAGCATGGGACAAGTCAAAGCAAGCACTCAAATGTCACATGAATAACCAGACTAGTTCCATGTCTCCAAGAGCAAACAATTTTGCTTCTTGTGCTAGAGACCATTTCCAAAAAATGAAGTGAAACAGCTTCTAGAATATCAAAACATCTGTGAAACACCATGTCTACAGAATGCATAACAGCTGGGTTAGGGTAGAATTTGTAAGACTACACCACTTTAAAGGGAAGACAAAACATCATGTAATTGTAGCACTGACCTAGGAAAACAGAGTTGTCTTGTTCAGTCTGATCCCCGGAATCTCTCTGAAAACGTCAGAGAACAGTCACAAAAGAGAAGCACATGTTCAAACTCCCTCTTTCCCAGAACTCCCATCCACTATGCACAAAATATTCACCACTCACTGGAGATAACGTAGTCCTAGAAGAGGAATCCTGGACACTGCTAACAAATTCTCTCCCCCTTGACTGCCGTATAAATTCACACCTATAAGCAGAAAGATTTAAATACATTAGAGCAGGATCTCTCAAGTCAAAGTAACAGTAATAGTTGAACAACATATCCTTTGGTCTTGCTACAAGGGACATTTGTCAACTAAGACTGACTTACCCTGGGTACCATTTGGCATGTTCCCTCCAAGGATCCTCTCCAAGTGACCAGTCACACAGAGGTCCATCACAGTAAAAACACCTCACTAGATCATCTTGTCCTGAAAAAGATCAGCAGATGATTTGACTTCTGAAACACTGTATGCTCTAGTAGCTACAAATGAGAACCTGAAGAGGGTCATCACAAAACAGAGGCATCCAAACAGAGCAGATTAGCACATGACTATTTACTAACACTGTGCAAGTTGCATAGGGGCGGGGAACCTGATGAGAGTTGGAACTCCCAGAGCTGTAGCTAGTCAAGATGATTCCAGAGCTGGGTCACAAGCTAACAGGCAGCATGCATGTGAGCACCATAGCTCAATCCCCACTTGCCTGCATTTAGAGTAAAGCTGGAATTAATTATATCTATAAGCATACTTTGTTTCCTAACCATAATCAGCCATAATCAGCAGCAGGCCCAGCCTGGTAGTGTACACAGCTTCTGTCTCATGGGCATAAGAATTTGTACAACATGGTCCCAAGTTTCTCATCCTGCTGCTGTTCTTCTCTTGACAGAAGTCAGAAGGAGGGAAATTAGAGCTAAGCCCATTTAAGAATAACTGCCTATGAATGCCCTGCCCAAGGGCAACGAAACAATGTCTGTAAAGGCTGTCAGTTTGGGTCACAGACAAGATACTCCAACACTCCTGTGTTAAGGTGCTGTTTAGCTCAGTTCTGGGGGTCTCCTGTCAAGTAACAGCCATGTCATGCTGCTGCTGCCTGAGTCCCCAGAATAAATCTGTGCTGGGGTCTCAAGCAGCTCCTCTACGAGTAACAACCAACACAAAACATACATCATTTTAGCTACAGATGCTGCTTTATGGTTTATTCTGTGTTCCTGGCCATGCGTGTCTTTCTCGTACCTTAAAAATTAATAAAAAGACAAAAGCAGCAGGTAAGCTTAGATGTCTATAATGCTCTCCCATCCAGGTATATGTGCTCTTTGGCCCCAGCAACTGCACTCCAAGTAGATAGGTAGACATTCTTAGTATTAGCTGGATTTACAGCAAAATTCAGGCTACACAGTTTGAGTGAAAGAATCTTGAAGAAGTAGAGTGACTAACCAGTCACTTCCTCTAACTCAAGCTAAAAACACAAAAGTCAGCTATTTACAGAGGCTTTCCTGTGTGCGTGTCATTCACCTTAAATAAGCAGAAAGGGCTCATTCAGTTTTATTTCAACAATGAGAGCATGAGGCATTCAAGATGCACAGGTTTATTTCTGTTAAGGGAGATTTAGTTTATGGACCCTGCAAATCACTTCCTTCCACATCTCCAGTTTGATAGGCAAATACAAAATTAATAGATTGCATAATTTGGAAGAAGTCACACTTCTAACACACAAATGGCTTTAAAAAAACAACCGACACAAAACAAACTAAAAGGATCACTACAATAGTTAATTGCAGTCAAGCATTAATGTACTGCAAATATTTCCTCTGACTAGTCAGAGGAAAACTACTTATTCAAACTTATTACCTAACCAGCAAAGCCTTCTCAAGAGGAAACAATACAACAAATACTGCCTATTTCCCTTAAAAAGCATTTTTTATTTCTTTATTACAAGTACATGGTCCAAATGGGCTGACTACCTACAGTTTTCTCTCAGATTTGTTTTGTTGGGTATTTTTTTTGAGAAGGCTCCAGAACAAGATAGTTTATGCAAAGCATGACATGCCAAGTAAGTCTCTTAAGTCCTTTTAGAAGTGCAGGTAATAAATAGGCCCAGTGGATCTTTTCTGCCAGTAAAACACCCATTTAAAACAGGCCAGTTTTTCCACTGCTGCTGCTAGGGGAATTGACTTCCTAGTGAACCTTCAGCAGCCAAACAGGAGTTAGTTTAGAAGTGAATATGCACAAGCACCAAGTAAAACAGTGCAAGGTGAAGGAAGGATGTGATTTCTAACTCCCCTATGCATACTTGCACGCATTTGTACAAGCAATAAAACACAGTGACACCTTCAAGAGTTCACTTAAATAAGAGTTTAAAACATTCCCTTGGAGTACCTACCAGTGTAAAAGAATCCTGCTCTGGCCAGCTGCTCAGGACGCATGTCAGAGTCCTGTGGCCAGTTCTGAAATGTAGTCAGTCTCATCTCCTCCGTTACCATGTCTGGGTATTCTGGCTCATCAGGCAGGGCTGTCTCCTCACTGTCAATCCCTGGCAAAAGACTGAGGAACTGCCCATCCACAGTGTCAGAGTTTTCCTGAACAGGAAGCATCTCTTGGTTCCCAACATCCTCACCACAAATGAATTTACAGGAAGGAAAGAACTTCAGATGCTCTGCTACTGGACAATCACCAGGTGCCCAGTCCTTCAGGACACCACCACAGCAGAAACACTGTACTTCATCTCTTGGACCCACAAAGAAAAATCCAGCCTTGACCAAATCCCGGGCAGACACAGGTGAAGTACTTGGCCATTGCCAGAAAGTCCCTAGTCTTCTAGCTTCACTCCTCATACTGGATTCAAACAAGTGGCAGCCAGCAGCCCTGAGCTCAGTCTCCTCTGCTGGTGTCATGTCCCCCATGCTCTTGTTCTGAAAGAGAGAATGAGAGAACCCAGAGCAGTCAGCTGGATGCCCGAGGCCAGGCAGCACTCACCCTGTGTTATTTGTCCCTCACCCCCATGCGTATTCGGGAAAGATCCTGGTCTTGACAAAGCTGAGCTCATTTCTGAATTACAGCCCAATCAGAGATCTGGTGTTTCTGTACTTCACTGTTGTACTTTTGCTGAGTCCTCACTAGTGCCCAAAGGAAAGACCAGTGCTTTCTGGGCAGTTTACAGGAGAGATGCTTGTGGGAACGGAGAGCAGAGGGGGAGGACAGCACCTGCAATGCCTCCCTTGCTGAACCAAGCCAGTTTTCAGCATCTAATCCCCAGTAATTTTGCTCAGCATTATCAACATTATCAACATTAGAAAGACTCAGCTTTTTTCCTAAATGTAAAGGGATTTAGGAAGGCATGCCATAACAAAGCACAGAACAGTCACACCCAAACAGTGTCTCATAAAAATGTTCATGTTACAGCCAAACACTATACAGCATAACAGTAGATTTTTCATAACCTTATTATGCTAATTAAACAGTGATTATATAGAAATTTCTTTGTCAAAGAGAGCTTCTCCAGGACACACTCTAAAATAATTAGGTCCAGTTTCTACAAGAAGATGTCCTTAAATCAAGGATAGGCATTTTCTGCCTGTGGTAGTTCTGTGCAAGAGCAAGACATTAAAAAGTTACTGAGGGTCCAATTACCCAAGCCCTCATCCTACTTATGGTAATAGCCCATCGTGTATGAGCACAATAATTTGCAACTCAGCTACTGCTTCTGATACTTTGTATATGGCTGGCAAATTCACTTTTGAAAGGTCACACAATTACACAACTGAGAATCAGGATCAATTTAATCACTTTCACAAGAATTCCTTTGGAGTGAGGTCACTACACACGTGACTAAGTGGTAGGTGTAACCAAATCAATTTTTTTAATTAAGTGCCCTGAAGATCCCTTCACCACGGAACTCAATAGGTCGGTTCATCCCAAGGAACTGCTGACTTTCTACTAGTTATCAGACCTAAGCACCAAGTAAACAGACCCACAGGAAACATTAAGTTAGAAAAACAAACACAAACACTTAAGAAGATACAGTGTTTCGAATCTGGTAGAAAAAGTTATTATGGTAATAGAAAACTGCTGCAGAGCACTTTTGAATAGGCACACTGATCTCTGGAGTACTACTCCTCTTAGTTTAGTGCTGCAGTACACTCAGGGAAAAAAAAACCAACAAAACAACAAAACAACAAAAAAACAAACCACAACCCCCAACAACTTAAAGGGCATTTTAGTTGCAAGGCCTGAACACAGAGATAACAAAGCTATACTTCATAGGTAGCACACCTTTAATAATATTTTGAAAGTAAAAGCAAGCAAGCTCGCTCAACCACATGCCTCTCACTGTAAAAGGTAATAAGGAAGTGAAAGGTGATTAGCAACTAGGATTTTCTTCTATAATCAGAGGAACCAGAGTTGTAGAAAGAAAGGCTCTAGAAGTTTGTTTTAGAAACTGTGCCTTATTTAATGCAATAAAGTAGATACTCAGGAACTATGTCCCTGGAATAAAGAGAAATCCATACAGAAAGAAAAAACAAATATCCAAACAAACCCCTTAGCCACTGATACACAGCAGTATTTGCAAGCTCAGCAAACTCACGAGCACACAATTTTTCAGCCTGCACAGCAGATTTAGCTCTCAGAACACATAGAAGCAACAGAGAGACTTGCTCACCAGGCACAACTCCATAACACCAGCACTGCTCTCATCCTGGGCCCTAACAAGACAAAAGCCACTATTCTTCAGCTGTGCAGATGCTCTTTTCCACCTAGAAAGTGGCCAAGTTTTCCAAGTCTTCTCCCGCTTAGAAAGCACACATCAGAGCAAGCTTCGCAGCATGATACAGACAGAAAAAGAGGTTTTTCCACCCAAAAGATTAACCACAGAATCAAATTATTTTTAAAATAAAACATGCAACATAAAGCAACAAATAAGTTTATTTTATTTATTAAAACCCCCCCAACATCATAGTTTACCTGAACTAAAGACACTTATATGCTCTGCAGCAGATACATTGAGTTGGCTAACAAGTCTCTCCAAACCAAACTGGTATTTTAAATAGTGACAACACCACTCAAAGCAAATGTTCTCCCAAAACCCACTACTTAAACCTACATAGTAACACACTTCCAAAGCAACACTACAGCTGCCATCAACAAATTGCAACAATTAGCATAATAAAAACTGAGAGGGGAACAAAAAAAATAAACAAAACCAAAACACAAAAAAACCACTAACACACAGAAAGAAATTTACCTGAGATATGAAAAAAACCCCACTGAAACAGTTCCAAGAACTAAGTCTTTCCCAACTTCACAAGCTGTTTACTCCTCTTCCAGGCAAAACTAAAGCCTTTCCCAAGGAAACAGAAACCCCTCCAAGGCGCAAGTGATCCCACCTGCCACCGAGGCCATTTCTAATGCTTTGTTTTCCCTGATTGGTTGGTTTTGTGCTGAAACTCTCTATTGGATAAACAATCCAAATGCTATCCTTTTAAATGGGAGTCACCAGAGAAAAACACAGAGTAAAGCTCAAAAATCCTCCAGAAAATAACTGGTTGGACCCCTGGGAGGGAGAATAAAATAAAAAAATAAAAATAAAATAATAATAATAACAATAGTCAAGCTTTGTGATCTTGTTGAAACCTGGCACAGCATCAGTCATGACATCTTGACTCCTATGACTTAATGCTCACAATCCTCCTATTTTACTACAGAATCTTTGCTTCTGCAGCCATGATTTTCTTCCGTGAAAATCTGTTGATATAATGACAGAGCTGAGCCAGGTGTGAGTTATGACAAATGTCAAATACACCATAGTAAGTCAGACATGGGCACAACAGCAGTTCCCTACCAACAGGGTAACAGCCCATTTAGTCCCTGCAGTCATGCTGTGACTCTATACTAACAGTATTTCTGTGTCTTTTTCAACTTGCTCTCACACACCTTACCATTTTTAAGAAAATATACTATCAAATTAAAGTAAATAGCAACAAGAATTTACTCAAGACAGCTTGAACATTGCACCACCCTTACCTTGGGAATAAACGCTCTTGCTACCATTGCATCTTCACAATTAGAAATCTTTCTATTTCTTTGCCTCACAGTTTAGAATGAAGAATTTTAAGGCTGGCTTTGAAAGGTGCAATTGCTTGAAAATGTGTTTTCCATTACCACTTTTCTGCCTGAGAATATGGAAGCAACTTATTCTAAACTCTGTGCTTGACAAAACAGAAGCTCTCTATGTTAACATAAGAACAGAGACGTTTTATGCTTGTAAAAATTACAAACTAGGATTCTTCTTTTAAGAAAAAAGATCCAGAGTCCTTTTCTTACTGGCAAGCCTCTATAAATATTTTAATTAAAAAAAACCAAACAGTGTTGAAACTTTTTTTTTTTTTTTTTTCCTAATTAAATGTGTTAATGAAAATCCCTGAGCAGCAGAGGGCAGTGCTCATACACGACATTAACAGAATCTTCTAACATGACAATGTTTGGTTCGGGTGTTTTGTCTGTAATGAAATTATATGTAATTGTACATTGTCTTCTGCTCCACAGATCCTGTTCTTTAAAGTCTATATTGATTTTCGAATAATGTATCCTAAATTATAAGGTACAGAGTTAACCCAATCCCTCTTGCAGAGGCTGTTTGGGGGCTTTGCTGATGGGTTGTAGCAAATCACCAGTTAATAGCTCAGAATCGTAGAACCATAGAATGGTGAAGGTTGGAAGGAACCTTAAAGATCATCAGGTTCCAACCTCCCTGCTATGAGCAGGGACACCTCCCACCAGACCAGGCTGCACAAGCTTCATCCAACCTGCCCTTGAACAATTCCAGGGAGGGGGCAGCTACAGCTTCCCTGAGCAACCTGTTCCAGTGCCTTCCTACCCTCATGGTGAAGAATTTATTCCTGATGTCTGACCTGAATGTCCCTTCTTTCAGTTTAAAACCATTACCCCTTGTCCTGTCACTGCCCTCTCTTGTGAAAAGCCCCTCCACGGCTTTTCTGGAGCCTCTTCAGGCACTGGAAGGTGCTCTAAGGTCTCCCTGGAGCCTTCTTTTCTCCAGGCTGAACAGCCGCAACTCTCCCAGCCTGTTTTCGAAGCAGAGATGTTCCAGTCCCTTGACCAGCAAGGTCAAAGACAGCTTTGAGGTTGGTTTCCTCTGGGGATGCACTCATGGGATTTTGGGGGAACTATTTCACCAACAAGGGAAATCTCAGAAGGTCTAGTGAAATGATCATAGCAGGAGTAGATGGAACTGACACCAAGTCTTGTGATGACAGCAATTAAAAATAAGTCACCATGGACAAATGGTGGTGATTTATTTTACCATACCACCATTTGGAAAGAAAATAATATGTTCAGTAATGTGTTGTGTGCAACTAATATTGAATTTTTTTGCAATTTTATGTGGTTTAGTTCCTTATCAGAGGATTAATGCGTCTTATTGAACTTCTGAAGGCTTCTTAGATGAAAAGTATAACGAATTAACAACAAACAAATGTGGGAACCAGTGAGCATCATCCAAGAGCCCAGGATACCTCAGCGATAACAGCACCACCACGCCCTGGATGAGAAATGCAGTAACTCCTACATTGCTGAGCTCGTTCCAAGCATAACCAGAGACCAGTATTAGAAAGGGATTTGAAACACTCTAAGAAGAAAGGACTGTAAACATAATTAATAAAAGATATGTTTGCTAATATCAGTCTGATTTCAAAGGAAAACAATCAATAAATACAAGGGACAGAGTATAGCTGGAGACATCATGGTAAATAGCTCAAAAGTGACTGGAGCTCCTGGAAAAACTCCAGTGGAGTTCAGCTTCTCTAAACTTGAGGTTCTACATGGCTGTAAGCAGATGAAGCTGTTCTGTGGCATTTAGCTCAAGGAAGACTATTGTATTTTCATCAAT